CAGGATTATGTAGGAGTCATTGACCGGATGAAACGAATAAAAAAATATGAATATTTATTGTGCTCTTTCATTCTGTATTTTCACAATTGTACCCCTATAACACCCAATCGCACCTACCTATTTGTCCGCCCACAGAATAAGTTTCATACCTACGCATATTTCACTTTAGACCTGATAATGCAAGAGGCTTTTATTCAATGCGGCTACACAGAGCATTAGAGAAATTACACGGCGAGAAAACAGAGATGAATTTAAAGGCAGTCTGTTAGCATTGTGTTCTCAAACTTCATGGATCATTGTGTGGTAATCCCTTATCGTTCTTTTCGTCTTTGTTTTTACTTTTTGCTTTTTTGTTGGGGGGGAGGGTGGTATTATTTTGTATAGTTTTGTTTGTTTGTTTGTTTGTGTGTTGATTGCCTGTTCGTTGTCTGCTTGTTTGTTTGTTTGTTTGTTTGTTCAATGAAGTGGAAACAGTATTTACGTGCTGTTACAATGCTGAATCATAATCTCTCTCTCTCTCTCTCTCTCTCTCTCTCTCTCTCTCTCTCTCTCTCTCTGTATGTATGTAATATTATAATTGTGAAAGTTCATCACTTTGGTCGCTTATAAATTCCGAACCACTTAACTTTCGGATAACAAAAACTTAGAGGTAGTTCAGAATCATTTAAAGCGTGCACAGTTATATTAAGGAATCTGACATCACTATAGTTTAATTTTCAGTTTTTCATTAGTTTCGTTCAGATCTAATGTTGGGAAAGTCCGTCCTCTAAGACACCATTGTAAACAAGTGAGGCTTACGTTCACAAGCAGTGCGCACTGTTGGACGATCAGTCCTTTTGAGTCCGTTAATCAAACGAGGACCCAGCTAGTATAATTATAGATAGGAAAGGGGAAAGGGAACAAGAGGTGTGTGTGTGTGTGTGTGTGTGCGTGTGTGCGTGTGTGTGTGTGTGTGTGTGTGTGTGTGTGTGTGTGTGTGTGTGTGTGTGTTTGTTTGTGTTGTTTTAGGCCCAGACTCTGACTACCGAATGTGGTGCTTCTCTGGCCTCTATCCTTGTTAAAATTACCTTTACTTATTATATTCCAACTGACTCACTTGGGACGAGCTTGGAAGGATGGCTCAGGAGGCAGGCTGACGTCACCACTGGGTAGGCGGTATTCGGAAAAGCCTCGCGCGGATAAGTCCCTCATTGGGACAAGGGCGAGTTACTGGTGAGCCGGCGTGATAAACAAAGAAGAAGGAACGTGTCTCTGTAGTACAACACACCTGTGAAACACTATTGTCTCTCATAACGCCTTCAAATCGGCAGAGTGCTTTTTGAACGTTGATTAGATATTGACGTACATTTATTGAAATTTAATAATGCAAATTATCGTCAGCAATCAATCTCTTGTCCACTGCACAGCCGACAAAAAGTGACCGGCGCCGCCGGTCTTGCCCTGTTAATGATCCGCCCCTGATCGTGAAATGGATATATTATACCTGTTTTGAGCTCTGAGCAGACTAAAATCAATATCGGCTGTATAATTTAATTTGAACTATTTGCTATTAGCACTTCCATTGTTGTTGTTGTTGTTGGTGGTGGTAACAATCCAAAAACAGCTGGGTTCTCACCTATCTGTCCAATGCCATGTTGTCATGTAGTGATAAAAGCAGGTTTGCTGCAGTTGCTGTATTGTTCCAAAGAGTGTGTTGTCAGTGTTAGGTCTCGGGAGGGAAAAGTGCACCTCTGAGGTAATTAGTTAAGGGCTGTGAAGAGGAGCAGGTGATGATCCACAGTCTCATAAATATGTAAGTTACACAAAGGACACATTGGGGAAGTTCTTGATTTATTCTGCTCAAGTAGAAGTTGAGATATGTTCTGTACGTAGGCGGAAGATCGTGATTAGTTTCTTTCTCTGTAGGTGGTTGTTATTGTCCTTTCTATGTGTTGTGGTCAAATGTTGAAATCTGCCTGTCTTTCTCAAAGCCCACCTGTTCATCCCATCTTGATTGTTGCCACTTTAATGATTTGTTGTGCAGTGTTGTATGAAGTTGGAATGTTGGGTTGTTTCTTCCTAGATCCCGTTTTGGCAAGCGTGTCTTCAAAGGGAATCTTTGTCATTTCCAGGTATGTTTGAGTGTCTGTGATGTGATGCATGGTTCATTTTGGTTAAATTCGTTTCTTTGGTTTCCGTGTTTCTCAACTTTTGAAAAGATTTCACATGCGGCAGGCGGTGTGGATCTCATGCCACCGTGAATGAAACGAAGGGCATTATTTTGGACCTTGTCAAGAGTGTTGCAAGTAGTTGCACTGCACATAGTGAGTAGGCTATCCAGGGAAGATCGGACATAACCAAGGTGTAGAGCTCTCAGAGTTTGTATGTATGCTCCTCATGAACTACTTCACAGTTTCTTTAAAAGTAGGAGTCTTCTTTTGCGTTGCTCTTTATGTTCTCCACTTGGATTTTCATTGTTAGACTTTTCTCAGGTTTGACTCCTAGGTTCGTTGGTTGTTCTTCTTTGGGGATATTTTCGCTTTCTATCTTCAGTTGGAGATTTTCTTCGGCTGATTTAGGGCTCTTTGTAAAGATGATGTGTACTGTTTTCGTGCAGTTTATTTTGAGCCTCCATTTCTGACAGTAATTGTGGAGTCTCTTGAGGTGATCATTTAATATCCCTGATCCTACTACTGTGCAGTGATGTGTCTGCCAGAGAACTAGACCAAAAGTGTAAGAATCTTTTCGGATTTCAGCACGTTCGTTATATCATTGAAGAAGATCGGAAACAGAGTGAAAATCAGACAGGAACCTTGGGGCAGCCTTCATCGAGTATTTCCCTTGACTAGAGGGCGTTGTTTACCTTGGTTTCAATGTTTCGATCTGCCAGGAAGAACTTGATCCATTTATCAAATTTGCAAAAGTATCCCAAGGTCCCTCATTTTCCTGAGTAGGCCTTTTCTCCACACTCTGTCGTACGCCTGTTGGAAGTCTACAAAATTATTTATTTGTTACCTGTGAATTGTTACGAAAATCATTAATTACACTTCATGATTATTATAACGATTTGGAGCATGCGCAAGAGGAATTAATATACTGCACGATAATGTCCCTACAACCAGTCAGTTGGGACGAATACGTTTTTGTAAAATTCTCGGTTGTCTACCATGTTCTTTTGACTTTGATCAACGTGGCTCAAACCTGGTAATGGCCTTTCATCCCGGAAGTAGAGTCTCCTACTATCTTTGCCTTTAGTTTAAGACAGTGATCACAAATAGATTGTGGCGTCGGTGGCCTAGTGGTTAGGCTACCAGACCCGTAATCGTGAGACTGAAAAAACGAATCCTGGCTATTGAAAAACTGGTGTAATCTTCATGATCCAATATTATTGCCAGAGGAAAGGCTAGTTATTACTATGAGGTTAGTGAAAGTGTCATGTCACTATTTTCCGTTTACAATGTTCTAAATCATTAAAGTCATATCACTTATCATCACCACCACCCCCTCCCACCACCCCCCTCTCCCTCTCTCTCTTTCCTTCTCTCTCTCTCATTTTTAACATTTAACGAAATTAATTCATGCTAGCATGATTGATACAGCTCGACCATGTGCAATGTGGGGCCGATGAGTGAAACACAAAGCAAGTAAAACATTTAAACGAGAAAAGCTAATGATTTATTAATGAATTACTAGCTTGTTTTTGTTTATAAAGCTAATTAAAACATTCTTGTCCGGGATCAAATTTTTGCATTACCAGCGACTGGCGGCGGGCAAGAATTGCCAAGACATTCCGGTAAAATTGCCTGCGCGGGTTGCTCACAACCAACCGCTGGTAACACGCGTTAAAGGGGGGGGGGGGGAGGGGGGGGGGAGCTACACCCTCAAAGTCGAAATTCCGCTCAAAATCATGGAATTTGAGTTGTAGACAATTTTAGCTTTCTCAGCCTCAGGGGCGAAGGCTGACTTGTTTGACAGGGTAATCAAAGTGAAATGGGACCAGATAGGGCCTGGAGAAATCACACTCACACAAGTCACAAGAATCTTACTGGCACTGGAGGCGGCAACTCGAGTTGTGAATGAAAACAAATCCTGAATTCATGTTGTATGCTTGTTCAACCGCTAAAATAATCGGGAAAGTATTTCATTAAATATTTATTCTAACTAACCTTAAATTTAACTTTAGATTTGAACACACGAACACCAAGGAAAGAAGCACAGATATCAGCACTACAATGGCATGTTATACCAGACAGCCGAAACAGTTTTGTAGAGCACGCCAATTATTAATTTTATATTTCACATTTGGCTGTTTTTTGTCTAGCTTTTCGCGGCCAGGAGCCGCTGTCATAATCGAGGTCACGATCTGATTATAGGACGTTAAAAAGTCGAGGAAAACCCCCCAAGCACTAGCAGTGTAGTAGCAGGAGTCAAAGGATTATTAGGAGTTAGTTCCCCTCACATCTGTGAGGTAGACTCGACCAGTGTAATAGTTCGCTTAGATAATCAGCGCGTCTGGGTGCTTATAACTGTCCCCGAAATGGGTGAACAGGGTATATGCGACAATGAAACAGTTCTGACTGCTATGCACATGTTCCCTTCAACACAATTGGTTGACTCTTCCTGCCTCACTTTAAGCTTACTTAATCAAAGCTTGTGACTGCTTATGGAGTGGCCCGATAGGGGCGAACAGGCTATTTCTGGGGCAATGAAACGGTTTTGAAGGTTAGGCATAGTCTATTGTTCATTGGTGATTATGAACGTCTTTTTACATTTAATTTATGAGGTTTACCTCTATGGGTGAATTTGACTGCGACAATGTTTCAAAATTAGGAAAGGAAGCAGTGATTATTTGATTATATAGACGCTTCGCCTCTGCTCAGTCTCTCCTACAACTATTTCATTGCATAAGAACCCCCCAAAACCGTATTTCTTCCCCATACCGGGCATGTTCGTAACCGCCATTTCCTCATAAAGTCAGTATTTTATTTTTCTTTATAAGTCGTTTTCTCAAAAAGCGACTTTTCTCTATACTTTTTTGAATAACTCCACCATTTTTCATCCAATCTTCATGAAATTGTCACAGAATGAAAAGAAGAAATAATACTAAAAATTTCTGTGTTGAATTTTTGATATATGGAATACATTTTTGTTGGTGGTGTCTGGAATGTGGATTTTCACGGATTTTTCGCAAACTTGAATGCTACCTCAGGAAAAAATTCATTAAAAATTTTCTAATTCGTTTAGGAAAAAAACAACAGATCAATGTTTAGATCTAATGTTTGTGAACACGCATGCCAAAAACTAATTAATGTCCATGAGCGATAAGTGCGGTATTTATTACGTAAGACATGTCAATCAAAGCCAATATGGCGGCGTATCCATGGAAACGAAACTTTTTTTCTCAAATTTGATTGCGGATTTTAAGACTCCTTACTATGCTTGTTATATATGTGAAATTTGGTAAAATTCGGTACAGTAAAAAGCGAGATAGCCTTCTGGTGTAAACCCCCCCCCCCTTAACTTCGGACGGTCTTGAACTAAACAAAAGACACTTCTCAAAGCGGGCATCTGCAGGTTAACCTGTAGCAGAAAACCTGGCGCACTACGGCCGTAACTTACCTTGCAAATACTTGTGACGACATTCACCGGTGAAGGCAAGGGTGACTATAATAAGAGGGAGGGGAGGGGGAGGTGGAAGATAACATTACGACATCATGATTTGTTGGTTTCCTACTGGGCCAACAGCCTCGGATGTGACGTGCTTATTACGTAATGTCCTTGTTTGTCCGTCTCTGCACTGACCAATTGACCAATGAGCCCGTCTTTTAGACACTGTAGTTAGATGTCCTTTCACTAGCTCTGTGGCGCACCACAAGGATACCTGATACTGAATCTTGTCAAGTTGTTCGTAAAGGAAAAACCGACGGTAAGATGTTTACTCTTTGTTTTTGTACGAGATAGCCTTTTACTATACATCAAAAGTTTTGAAGTTATTTTGCACTGACAACAGAAAATATATATGTGTGTGTGTGTGCGCGCGCTCGTGTGTGTGTGTGTGTGTGTGTGTGTGTGTGTGTGTGTGTGTGTGTGTGTGTTTGGGGGTGGATGGTGTGCTATTCAGACCCTGGAGTAAAAGAGACTAACGTAGAACGACAAAAAAGACAGAACAGCAAACGGAAGGCAGAAATGATGTTCTTTTCTATTACTAATTGTGCGATTTGCGTTTATTTTCTCATATGAATATAATATATAAAAATAATGTATACATATATGATGTATATATATATGAGAATTGTAATATGTTCCTGATGTCAGTGTTCAGTTGCCTCCTCGCCCCTTCTTTTTTCCCCTCTTTTTCCCTCTTTATTTTCCCTTTCTCATTTTCCCTGTTTTACTCACATCTCTCCCTCAACTTTTCAAATTATGTCAGGGAGCATGAATCCTTTTGTTTTAATTGTAGGAAGACATAACTCAAGTATGTTCGTGTTTCTTGTTTTAAAACTCTCCAATAAGACATGAGCTCACAGTTTCGATACATGTATGCAGCCAAATGTGTCATTGGTGGAGTTGTTTCTGTTTTAAAGTGTACTTTTCGTTTTGCGAGTTCCTATACCCCTTCAAAAAACATGCATACACATATTCAAACATACATATTATACACGCACTTACAGACAACATCAAACTCATTAACACACACACACACACACACACACACACACACACACACACACACACACACACGTACAAACAGACCCTGTATGTGTTCCTTCCTATACCGTCCCCAGATCATGGATCAGTACCCACTGACGGACACGGGAAAGACAAGTAGGAAGGAGCTGAGACGTTTGGCTACACACAAGTTTGGCGTACAGTGACGTGGGTGGACGCCTCTCGGAAACAATCTTATTTGTTGTAGGCTGACATTTCAAAAATTCAAAATTTCCTCTCTGCACCTCTGCCTGAAACAATCTTAGTTGTAGGCTGACATTTGAAAAATTCAAAATTTCCTCTCTGTACATCTCCCTGAAAGAATCTTAGTTGTAGGCTGACATTTGAAAAATTCAAAATTTCCTCTCTGTACCTCTCCCTGAAAGAATCTTAGTTGTAGGCTGACATTTGAAAAATTCAAAATTTCCTCTCTGCACCTCTCCCTGAAAGAATCTTAGTTGTAGGCCTGCATTTCAAAATCCAAAATGACTCTACAATAAAAAACAAATAATTTCACACTTGTAAAATGATAAGACACACCACATTTACTTTACACCACCCTTTTGATCCCATATCTATTTGACGGTGTCTCTCCTTTGTAGCAGTATTAATTAACTATGAGAGCTAATAGTTTATTTATGATCTCACTTGAAAAAAAAGAGGGCAAATCAGGCAAAAGTGGACCACGAACAACTTACTTAGACTTGGAGAATTTGAACAGATTAGATCTAGATCTATAGGTGATGGGGAAAGCATTGTTTCAAATCTGGTACTTCTTGCTTGATGATATAAGGTAATGTGTAAAAAGAGAGTGCTATTTCTTTCCTGGAATATGAGAGGTATATTATGTATTTTGCTGTCCGTGTATATTTTAATCCATAACATTTATGACGCACAGCCGATCACTCACGTAACGAAATCGGTGAGACGCAGACATCTTTTCTTTGTGTAAGATTACTAAGAATTTTGCTGTGTACTTGTTGCAAAATTCGACTACATAGAATATTTATAAACATTAATATGTAAGTTGTAAAAGAAACAATTGTGGACCTGAAATAAATCTTTTCGTTATGTGCATGTTTCTCTGTCATGTGTCTGTTCACTAAGTGCTTGCTGCTAGACTACAGGCTAACCCACATTTAGGGGGTTTATAGAAATCTTGACCTTCACCAAAAGTGGGCATTGTCCTACCTATAGGAGAAGTCTGGTTTCAGTGGTGTTTATGTTTGTTTGGTTACAGAGAAAACTCTCCTTGTCATTTAAAGAAACTGAACAAGGGGCAAAAACTTTTCCTTCGGTTTTCTCAAAACAATATTTTTGGTATAGCAGCCTTGTGCTTAAAAGCGACCAAATAATCTGATCACTTGACTGCACTCTGATCTCACGCCCCCTCCACTGACGGAACTCACCCGTCAAAACACAACTGACTGAAGCTGTAAGGTGAAACGAATGCCCCCCCCTCCCCACTAGGGGCAACACGGTACCTTTCTTCTTAGGCTTGAGCCTTTTTTTAATAAGTGTTTTACGGCGCTTGCAACTGCATAAGTGTAAGGTCTTATGAGCGCGCGGGACACATTACACATTTTCCGTTGGTAGAAAATTTTAAATTATACCTAGGTGGCAACCGAAGCCTACTCTTATCAATTTTAGACCACCAGGGTATCTTTAACGTGCGCAACGTGCACACAGGACCTCCGAGATTAATTTTGTTCGCCCTTGTCCGAGAAGGCTAGGTGTAGATTTTTCCTACAAGAAGACCAGGGGTGTGGCTGAAAGATAGCAGTAAGAAGCCAAGGGTTACACTCAGCAGTGGACTGACGACGCCTAGAAAGAAAGAAAAAAAGAAACAAAGAAACAAAGAAAGAAAGAAACAAACAAACAAACAAAGAGAAACTACGAACATAGGAAGAATCGGTGAATGTTGAAGCTTGACGACGGTCGTTGTTGTAAGTGCTGTTGTTGTTGTGTGAATGTTCAGGTTGTTTATTTAATTGTTGCAATTGGCAAACACTGATGGAAACTATTCTGCTATTTGAACATTTACTTTCGTTTAATAACACGCATTCCCTTTCATCCGTATTAGACAGGTAACCATCAAAGTTTCATGATAAGCCGTATAAGTGGATTATTATTAGTACTTCATTGAATGTTCCTATCCAAGACTTTGTTATTTTTGTATCTGAAGCTGATGTCATGCAATATTTCGTCTTTGCCATGATAAGAATAAAGTGAATTTTTTTTTCCCCACTTTATATTTGCTTGTTTTCTTTTATTCTCTCGACGTCACATTTTTACGAAAATCGTAAAACAATAATACCTATCACTGAAGATACTGAGCACTGACACTTTCCCATAATACTCTGAATATACATTTGAATATATAGATTTGTTTCTCAATTTGCTTGGTCCGATCACACTGAAAGAATGAAACTGTGATTTTTAAATATTTTTTATTGGGGCAAAGGGGGGGTGGGGGTGGGGGTTGTCTTTGTATGTGTCTTCCATAGCTTTGACATATTATAGATCCATTGACAGGCAGAGTACCTCCTCAAAGGATAATGACAATGTCTAGAGAAAAAGAGAGGAGGAAAGAGAGGAGGGACGGGAAAGCAATGACAATGTAGATGTTCTTTTTGTTCATTTGGTTATTATAGGGGCCCTCTGTTCTCGTAAGAGAGCAATGCGTTATCTACTTCCTGTTAAAAGCAAAAACAACAACAAAAGCAACAAAAAACCCCCCAAAAACCCAACAACAACAACCCAAACCCTCAAAAGGAAGTGCAAGCGGTGTGTGATAACAAAATAGAAGAAGTAAAATAATTTTGTTATTATATTTAGTGTGTTTTTATGAAGTCTTTGTATGACTTAAATTCCCTAGCTAAGACACACTATAGATCCATGGGCAGGCAGAGCAACTCGTCTAAGAATAATGACACCGCCACTGCACATTTGAAAATACGTACAATTATAGCTAAAATGTTGATTAACAAGAGGATTATGTACGAGTTCTTGACCGGATGGAAGGAACAAAGGTGACGGAATGAGGCTCTGTCGCGACAAAACAGCAGTGAATCCCACTTGTCTACATGTATTTGAACGCCTTCAAATCGGCAAGATGCTTTTAGAATATTGATGCATGTTTATTGGGATTTACTTAAAACTGAATGAAAATCATCATCAGCAATAAATCTCTTGTCAACAGTCCAGCTGACAGAAATTTGACCGGCACCGCTGGTCTTGCCCAGTTAACAAACCGCCCCTGGTAGTGGGCCTTAATCGTTCCACCCACGTACATTTCCTTCTCTATCCCTCTCTCCTTTTCGCCACCCCCCCCCCTCCAATCTGTCCAGCCTCCGTCTAACCTTCACTACCACCTCCCCACTCCACCACAGTCAGCGAAATCAGAAGTACCAAATCCCCATTTCTAACTGAAAACCTCAAATGCGTATCGTGTCTTTTCCAAGGCAATAAACAAACACCTGCAATAAGGGTGCTTGCTGATAGTAATACATTTATGGAAAATTGTTAAATACATTCGACTTCAATCGGTGCGAAAAGGATGGAACAATTACAAAACGTTATATACCGCTGAACATGTGAAAATACGTACAGATATATAGCTAAAATGTTTATTAACAACAGGACTATATACGAGTTCTTGACCGGATGGAAAGAATAAAACTATTGAATAATTGTGAGGCAGCGTGGTGGAATCAGGCTCTCGTCAAAATAATCAAAGTGAAGAAACTTAAATTTTTCCACAGGTTTGTGAATTTTTATCAAATTTTTGTTTTTTGGCTCAACGCCTCTAATGCCCATTAAAGAACTCATTTCTGTGTGGATTTTTCTGAAAAGCGTTGATTAAAGGCACAAAAATGTAAATTTTCAGTTACCACGGACTCTTAAGCTAAAGAAATAACTAATCTTTGGAGGCTGTTTTCTCACCAATGTTAACTCTGAAAGCAGGTGAGCCTCACCTCCTTCTTTCGCAAATATCTCGACTTGTATTCAAGATAAATGGATACTTTTTCATCCGAATAAAGACAAGTGAATACGCTTTAAGATGATACCAATAACTCTACATACCCAAAAATTGACGAGAGCCTGATTCCACCACGCTGCCTCACAATTATTCATTGTGCTCCTTCATTCTGTATTCTCACAATTATTGTACCCCTATATAACGCTCAATCGTCAACAGAATAATTTTCACATCTACTCATATTTCACCCTCGACCCGATAATGTGAGAGGCTTTCATTCAGTGCGGTGACACATATCGTAAGAAATATCACACGAAGAGAAAACAGAGATGAATAAAAAAGGCAGTCTGTCAGTGTCAGCATTGTGCTGTGATACTTCATGGATCATTATGTGGTAATCACTTGTCGTTCTTTTCGTCTTTGTTTTTTTGCTTTTTGCTTTTTGTTGGGTTTTTTTTTGGGGGGGGGTGGTGTTATTATTTTGTGTAGTTTTGTTTATTTGTTTGTTTGTTGATTGCCTGTTCGTGGGTGGTTGGCGGGTGCTCTGGTGCGTTTGCTTCTTCTTTCCTATCAAACGTCTATCATCCTTATCTCCCCTTCTTCTTTTTTATGTTTAGTTACTCTCTTGTAACACCTCTAATCTTTTGGCGCTCATATGACCTTATGCAGCTGCGAGCGCCGTAAAACCTCTACTAAAACTAAACTAAAAGATTGCCTGTTCGTTGTTTGTTTGTTTGCTTAATGAAGTAGAAACGGTATTTGCGTGCTGCTACAATGCTGAATCATAATATAATGACATATACCCAAGAGATGGTAAACTTAAATAAGCAGTAGAGTGCAGGAATTAATCGTGATTTGTAGAACTGACACTACTGACAGACAGACAATTTTATACCTTTAGGTTTGTGTGTGCGTGTGTGTGTGTGTGTGTGTGTGTGTGTGTGTGTGTGTGTGTGTGTGTGTG